GGGACCTAATTATGGTTTTTAAATTTTGTTAGATTTTTTTATAAATAAGTCTATTGTATGAAACTTATGCAAAATTTTCTCATTTAAATTTGAAGTTTCACATTGGATCCCGGCTAGAGTCGTTTCTCACAATCATCACTAATCAACAATTGTTCTTCAATCTGTCACCTTTGATTTGGATGCACAGCGTGTTCAATGAAAATTCATTTAAGTTGCTACTTCTTCCCCTTGGACTTACTTTTTTTTATCTTCCCCATCCCCATGCATTTTAATTAGCCTCTAGTTGGGTAGTTAATGCTATTGACAATATAAATATTGATTTCTATATTTTTTAAAATTTTAGTGTGTGTTGATATTCCTCTAATCTTCTTTTTAAGTCATTTTTAATATGTTTCATTAGTATAAAAAAAATTTTAAAACTTATTAACTCTATATTAAAATTTAATAATTTTTTAACTTTACTTCTATTAAATATACATACTTCAATAATATATCTTCTCTCTTCAAAATTCAATGAAGGATAAAAAAGAAAATTAATGATAAAAATTTAATGACGTGACTTATAAATAGAGCCAAAAAAATTATTCTCTCTCTGCCCTATAAATAGGACTAGAGGAAGTATTAGCCTTTAAATATTCTTTTTCTTAAGTTTTATGTAGTTACAATACTTGTTTAGGTATTTTTAAATATAACCATGAAAACTTAACAATGACTAACGTATGCACAAGCTTCATTACTTCTTGTGCTATAACTTATAAAATTATGATGAATATTATAAAAAAAATGAGTAAATAACCAAAAGAAAAGGGATTATATCATAATCTGAACACATAATAATGAAGCTTCACAGGCAAGAAGACATAACAACTAGGGTACACTGACATAAAATTTTGTCGTCATTTTCTGCTCATATATAATGTTCAACAACTAATCATAATTTTACTAACTCGATGATAGAATTGATAGATTTATACATACATCAACATATCTAATTTTGTTGGTGACCCTAAAAACTAACGTTATTGCAAACAAACAAAGACTAATATTGCAAATAGACTAAACCGAAAAGGCTTGGAGCAACGAAAAAGAGTATAAGAATTAATATCAAAATAAGTTAAAATTATATAGAAGTATATTTGCATTTTTCCAAAATTATATTGTCAGGGTAATTTGGTCAATTCCATTGTCTTTTTCATTTTCATCATATTTCTCCTCTACTAAACATAATAATACAGAAATATTTCTATCTCATTTTTTTTAAAGGAACCAACTTTTAATAAGGAAAATGAAGGGGCACAACAAAATAATTTAATGTATTGTTTGCATTTATGAATTTAATTTCAATTTTAGATTTAAATCTTAAATTTAAAAATTTTACATTTAAAATTCATGTGATTAAAATCCTTCGTCTGGATAATGTAATTAAATTTTAAAGATAGAAAAGTGACAATCTAATATTTTAAGTATAGACAAGAGATTGGGAGTGATAAGTTTTACATTTATTTTTCAACTGGCGAGATGATGACAAGAAATGAAAGGAGATGCAAGAGTAATACAGATATCAACAATAAAAATGTGAAAAAAAAATAAGAGAGTCATGTTAGTTGAAATTTTAAACAATTAAGATTTAGAAGAAATTTAAAATTATAAAGAAATTAGAATAAAACATAAATTTAGATTTGAATTAATATCAAATATTACATTTATTTCTTTTTATGTATCTAAATAAGAAATTTAATTCAATTTCAAATTTTTGGCCACCCAAACACGGCTTAAGGGAAAAGGCAATTATGAATTATCAGTTAGACTTTTGACTTTGAATCATTTAGATTTGAAAAGAATGGTCCATTATATGTGAGTATTTTGACAAAAGAGGATAAAAAGAGTAAATTGTCTCTAAGATCAAATAGCGTGTAAAATTATAAACTCATTTTTAAGACATTATTTTCTTTAACTCTTGAAAATGACATAATATAGCCTCTATCATTGAAAAAATATATTTGACTGTTTACTTGGCCCAAAAATGACATAAAAATTATAAAAAGGATCAATAAATTTTTTTATTCCTTTTTAAAATTTTTTGGGTTCTTGTCTATAATTTTGAGTCTTTTACAGTAATTTTTTAAATCATTTTTTATACTTTTTGATGTCTTTTTTGTTTTTTGTTCTGATTATTAACTAATGATTAAAGTTAGCTTTTATTAACAATAGGGTTAGATTGAATCATTTTAAAAAATTAAAGAGAAAAATTACATTAAAAATAAGTTTAGAATTTCAGACATTCCTTGAGTTATAGTTTAAGAATCAATTTATCATTTAATAACAAAAAGAGATAACTAATATGGCAACACAAAAGTGGAGCAAGTCTTCTACCAAGGATCACTAAACCAAATTTCTCAACAATTTCTATATTATTGGATACGAGAGAACAAAATTTATTTCTATAATTTTTATTGGGTAAAAACTTACTTTATTTGTAAAAAATATAAGGTCTTTATTTGTAAAAAATATAAGGTATTTTTAATTTTATAAGATGCAATTATTGTCTTTTTTTCAAAAGTATTTACATTAAATAAATTATTTTATATTTATTTTTGAATGAAACATCCAATTAAATATGAGTAAATATGAAAAGATAAGATTAGTTTGAAAACAATTAACTACTTTATTGAGGATAAGATTTGATTAAAAATACCTTATAACAGATGGAGTATATACTCAATATTATATACTTAAGGTATTTATTTTTAATTAAATCAAAACATGAGTAGCTTTAACAAATTATTTAAAGGGTATGACTTAGATACTTAGCTTTACATACTATATTTTTATCTAATTAAATCATAATAAATGAGTTTTAATTTGTTGATTATATTAATAATAAGGGTTTGTTATAAAATAGATAATCTATAAATAATATATATATATATATATATATTAAGTAGGTGGTGGTGATTGACATAAACTTATACTATTAACTTTTTAAACATTTAAAATGTGAATTTTATTAGGAAAAAAAAGAAAAGGGAAGAAAGTTTGGTTTTGTTTTTATTAAATTTTATGCTTCTTTATATTTTTTTTAGCTTTGTTTTATAATTTTTTTCAATACTTTTGATAAGTGTGCTTTTCCACAGAAGCTCAATAGCTTCTCCACAAAAGCTCAATAGATTCAAAAAAAAAAGAAGAAGATTTTTTCTCAATAATGGAATAATAAAAAAAATGCTGTTTGGGTAACTTTTTTCATTGATTGAATATTTACCCCAAAAATCGATTAACGAAGCAATCCAAACAAGCACGTAAACCAAAATCTTTAATTAATTTTTATTTATTGACAAGGGGTATTTTAAAAATAAATTATTAACCACTCCTTAAATTTTATGAATTGTCTTATATACACTAACACTTTATCACCCTTAAAAATTCTTTTCTTAAAATTAAGTGAGTACATATGAATGTACTCAAGCGTTTCATTTCTTCCTCAACAACCGACATGTAACAACAAAGTGACGCACCAAGAATGATAGTCAACTTAAGTTAAATGAGCATGATGCATGTTTCTCCATTGGTCGTAAGAATCTTTTCCTGTAGAGCTGGAGATGTAATGTTTTTATACTTTTTTGGTTTGGTGTGTGTATGTTAAATATATAAACAAGGAAAAATATACTATCCCTCCAAATAATTATTCAAATCAATTCATTGAAATTATTATATATATGTGTGTGTATTTCCACCATTTTATGATACCTTTTCTTTTAAAGAGATTCATTCTAGCCAAACTTGACAATAAAAGCTTGTATTTCAAATAGTGACAACGTGAATTAGTTGGTTAGGGTTAGTTATGTTAAATTTAAAATATATATATATATATATATATATATAAAGAGAGAGATTCATTTTAAGGAAAATGACACATCCATGTAAGAGATAAATAATAACACTTAAAAATCTTGAAAATTAAGAACTCGTTAAAATATTAAAAATAACAGTTACCAGTCAGGTTTCAAAAGGTTGTTATCATTACTCTTATCAAAATTATATAACTCAATATTTAAATAATATAAAAAACGTTTGGTTGTGTAAATAAAAACATTTTCCGCTGCATAATAGATAAGATCTAATGTAATACATATATTCTATTAGTCATTATTAATTAAAACAAATTTAAATTTTTATTACCATAAAACACGTTCTATACTAATAAAAATTTTTTCATTCAATTTTTTTCACATATTTTGTATAAAATATTTCTTAAAATTATGAATATCAAATTATACTTTAAAATAGAAAAATGCACATTTAATCTTCTAATTTACTCCTTCTGTTAAAAAATGTAAATTATTTTTAACCGAATATCACCAGCTACTTTCAAACTAATTCTATCTTTTTATATTTATTCTTATTAACACCTTACAATAAATATAAAGTTATTATTAATAGGGGCACTTTTGAAAAAAGGTAACGATTAGACTTCGAAAAATTAAAAATACTTTACATTTTTAAATATCTAACTCTTTAAAAAATATTTTATATTTTTGAACGGAGGGAGTATATAAAATTTATTTTCATCTTAATTTAATAATTCATTTTATCTTGTTCATTTAGTGAAGAACGAAGTTTTTCTTAAAAACAAAAAAAAGCTGAACCTCAAGTATATTTATCGATTTTAATTGTATTCATTTGTTCATGATTTAATTATTTGATTCCTATGAGTATGAAGAGGTCACACAACTTAAGGTACAGTCGTCGTCGTCGTCGTCTTCTTCTTCTTGATTAAAAAGAAGGTACAGTCTTTTGATTTTTTTTTTTTGACCAACAACCCTTCCATTATTTTAGTATTAAAATATTAAGTGTCATTTTCCTTTCATTTAATGCGAGGCATGTATAATTGCCAGATACCCTGGTTGATTATTTTCTCCCCCAGACGCTTTAGTGACCTCAAATCCTATATATACGCTCCTATCTTCGTCACTTTCAATGCACAAAAACATGAGAGAGAGACTTCAAAGACAGTCTTCCAGAGAATAGTGCACTGCCACAACAAAAGAGGGGGGAGAGAGAGAGTGCTCAAAGGGGCAATGCCAACCCCACATCTTCTCTCAACCATCTTCTCTCCCTCCCTCCCTCTTTCACATTATTACAGTACTTGCACAGTATATCTCGGTTGGATTTTATTCATATGTGGCTGTGATAAAGGTCTCTTTCATTCAGCCCACGATGATAGTGAGTGTATGTATGAGAAGGACGAGAAAAATGGGAAAACAAATATATATATTGTTCTTTTTGTTTTCTGATTTCTGATATACACAGTTAGTGTCTGTATACATGTTTCTGGTTTATAAGTTGGGGAAATTTGGCTGTCAAAAGAATTCTTTGTTATAGTTGATCTCTTTTGGAAATATAATGCTTTTCCAGATTTGTGTGGATACATGTGAGATCTTCAATCGCTTTCTTTTCCTTCTCTGACTCTCATGAAGACAGTGACACCTTCTCTCTCTTAATTCTTCCCCCCTCTCTCTCTGCGCTTCTTCCTCCGACCTTCCTCACCTTTCATTTTCCAAAATTTATTACTTGTGTGCTCCTTTTCTTTTGGTCTTCTGATTCATATATATCTTCTTTACCCTTATTTCCTATGGCGTATTTTGCTTTGGTTTCCTCTTCTTTCAGCTACTGCTTGTGATCATCGTCGTTTAGTCCAAGCGTCTTCGACCGTGACAACCAAAAAGCAGTAAGAAATATAGTTAATTTGATTTGATTTATAGAGTAATTTTAGCTAGTTGAACAACCTAAATTTGACCCCTTTCATTTTCTGCTTATTATCATCACATTATTACACCTGTGTTTTGATCAAAGAAATATTCAGCATGTCTGTTTTTATATCTGCAATATATGTTTTACAACCAGTGTATTTTTATTAGCTTGCTCCAAGACCTAGGGCTAGGGTTATTGTACAAATCGCCGTTCAACGTTGTAGTTTCAGTAGTATAATTGAAACGGTGTGGTCGGGAATTGGTGCCGTTTTGGTCAAAATCTTGTTTGTCATCTAGGAATACAGTTAGTTGAAAAGCCTATTTCGTTATAATTTTGAAACGGAAATATTAGATTTGAGGTTAATTAATTGTTGCATGCTCTGATTCAAATTATCTGCATATAGTAAATCGATGTTTATCTGCAAAACTTGGTCTTTTATGAATTGGAATTGGTTTAATCTTCTTGTGTGTGTGTGTGTGAAGCTAGTGTCCTGTAAGTGTATATATATATGGTTGGATTGGATTAATTGAGGGTTAAGTGAGGAATTAAGAGTTTAAGAGAGCTTCCTTCAGTCCACTCATGGAAGGGTAAAGGGTTTGAATTAGCTGCTGACTCATTCATTCAAACACAATAGAACAGGTTTCATCATTACATGCTATTGTGAATGTGTGAATGATGCGGGAGGTAAATTTCACCCTTTTCTTGTCTGTGCTTGGACTGAAGGGAGCTCCCTGTCACTGTTTCTTTCTTTCCCCCCTTTAATTGTGAATTTCACGGAGACTGATGAATGAACTCGATTGTACTGATCGGTTCATGGCATACGAGCAGTGTGACTTGTTATAAGTTTTTTATCTGATGTTCATGATAGATGCTTTCCCTCTTTTAATGCTGCAATCTCTTCCTCACATATGGCTCATTTGGTATACCTCTTATATCAGAAGGACGTTAATTTCATTGCACACTAAGTCTATCTTTATTATATCATAATTTACTCAGTGATCATTTAGTTTCTGTTTTCATCTAGAGATGACCGTGAGTGTCAATAGTGATCCACATTTTTAGTTGACTTATATTAACACTGAAAAAAATTACAGTTGTTATGTAGTAAAATCCTCGATTCATGTGTGTGGCATGCACGCGCAGATTGGTGAACTTATGTTTGAGCCTACACTAGTGTATACTGACATGCTTGATTGATGATGATTTAATTTGAGTGGTCTAATTTACCATCTCTGTACAAGATTAACATTTTACATTGATGTAATCTTTTAATTGCCATTATGAGGATCATTGGAGTAGAGCTTGGTTAATATTTATCAATTTTCAATCTATATATTTGCATAATGTACAAAATTAAACTTTGATTGGTTTAAATTATCTTGCTGATCCTTGAACATGAATGCTTCTTTTATCATTGTCTTTAGTCATCCATAAAACTGTGTGCAACTGGCATGCATCTCATGTATACAAATTGAATGATTATAAGACTTTTGATGTTTTTTGTTTCTGGAATGACTTTATTGGTAGTTTTTCTAGGACATGTTTTGGCAGGGCTTTACTGTTGGTACTCGATGAATCAAAACCACTCTTAACAATATACATCACAACAAGCCGGTACTAATAAGGTATGAATTAATGATAATGCGATTCATGCATTTTGAGATCTGTGCAAATAAAGGTGTACATCTTTCTGGCAGCTGTGATAAATAATCGTTTGAGATTTTTTTTTTTAATAAAAAGATCTAGGCATGGTAGAAAAATGGCTTCTATTTTTTCTTTTGATAAGTGATAACCAAAAGTGACTTCTATTTGGGGATAAATATATCGGTGTTTCTATCTGGGATCTTATCAAATCAATTTCCATGGACTGAGCCTGCTCATCTGGTAAGATAATCCTTAAATTTATCTTATACAGTTTCATTTGATATGGATTTGAAAGAACACACTTTTGTCAATAATGAATTATCTGCTGTCACCTAGTAGTTATCTACCCTACATTTTTAATTCAATTACACCTTTAATCACTTAGTTAATTGTCTTTAAAATTATATTCTTTACAAATTTACCCTCATATAATAGATCCGTGTCTCAATTAAAAATTTTTATTGATTACATCTTTAATTAAGGTTATTTTTGGAAAAAATTATTAATTGTACCTGGAAGGGTCTTATATTTTTGAACACGATGCTCTGAAAAGAAAAAGCCTTATTGAATGGACGGAGTATATTATTTTTTGAGCACTTGATATTATTATTTGGAGGATGAATTGAATTAATCATGAAGGGCTACACTTTCCTTAAAACTAATTATTCTTGAGATTCTCCCAGTAGCCAAACACGATAATAAATTACGAGGATTAATTTACCTGAGTTCCAACTGACCTTTTTGTCACCACTGTCCATTCTTTTGAAAGCCAGCATAAATATATACTATCTTCTTTAAAAAATATAAGGTATTTTTTGAGTAGTTGAACGTTAAAAAATGTAAAAATTTATAATTTTTTAAAATATAATTATTATTTTTTTAAAGTGTCTTTATTGATAGTGATTTTATATTTATTATAAGGTGTGTAATAGGAATAAATATAATAAAATAAAATTAGTTTGAAAATATGTAATTATTTTATTAAGAGTGACGTTCGATTAAAAATATTTTATATTTTTTAACTGGTATTTATCTTTGAAGATAGGGAGTATATATTTATCTATAAAGATTTGACGTGACTTTGGGGCGAAAATTCAAGCCTTATTGGATAAGTAGCTGGCTAGCTGTGTAGTGTGGCGGTCGCTTTATTGCAGAAAATCTATAAAGTCAAGTCTATCCATTCCCACTTAACCAGGATGATCAGTTCTGTGTATGTGCACGAAGTGTAATATATAAGTTTTAGTATAGTATTATTTATATGATTTATGAATAAAATTTCTTGTTCTTGTTATTTTAATTTCCACCAACAAACATGACTTCGCTTTATTTTCCTGCATTCTATGATTCTATGTATGTTGGAGGACGAACCATAATTAAGCCACGCAGACGCAGTCTCACTGATTGGAATTGAAAGTTTGATTTGGAACACACCGATTCTTTCTGGAGACAAATAAACAAAGTAACCATTATTCTTATCCTGACATGTCATTTTCTGTAGATACGTGTTTTTTTAATATATATACATATGCATGAATGAAAGCTGAATCGAACCACCCACCAACCTTGGACTCATTTGATTACACATTAATACTATTATAATACCTTAAAAACACCTTGAAACTAGGTTTGTATTTGAATATGCAGTGAGATCAGTTTCTCTCTCTTTCATTCTCTTTCTCTCTTTTTTCTGGGGATTAAACTTCTGAAGTCCGACCAGTTTTGCAGCTCCTGAGGCTAAAGATAAGCTGTTCAAAAGGCTATACAAACCCTATAATTCTTGTCCACTGTGATGGGGTTTGAGGCAGTAGTTGGAACTTGAAGCTACAAGGTTCTATTCTAGCTAATTCGTTTGATATTCGTGAGCCTATTTTTATTTATTTATATTTTTTCAATTCATTTTTCCCTGCATATATTATTAAAGCTACTCGTTTTCCAAGAAATATTTGAAGATGGAGCATTTGTTCCTTGTGTTGTGTTGTTGAGAGCTGAGACTAATCAGGCATTTTGCGTATTTGAAGACATTTAGGGTTTTTAAAAGGGTTGTTCGGCGGGAGGAAAAAAAACCCTAATGAGTATTCTGAAAGATCGTTTTTCGTTTTTTGATTTTTTGGGCTTGCAAAAGAAGATCGTTTATTTAAAAAAGAGTCTGCATGTGTGTGTCAGTAGTAATGTAGCTTTAACCATTAAAGAACTGTACTGAAACAGCTAAAAATTAAACTAAGCCAGTTCCTTGAAGAGTTCGAGATGAAAGTACAGTTTGGTCTGGATTTCTCACTTTTTCCCCGTATTAATTAATTATTATTATATTTCGAGAAATGGACATGTGATTTGGCCAAATCTTTAGTATTAAATAAATTGTGATCCTCTCTTACAAGTTACAAGTTAAATGGAATTTTCCCTACCCTCTGTTCGGTCTGATGACTGTGAGACTGTCTATTTGTTAGAATCTGCAATTTTTTTTTTTTTTAACGTTGATGTCATTCTAGGGCAGGACCACTTCTTCCTTCTGGTACCGTTGTGTTTGTCATTTCCTTCGAGCATTAAGTTCCCTTTTAATTAATATAAGGTATTAATACAGGGCTTGTTCTAAATCAGTCATGCAAGTTGGGCTCAGCTTGCGATCAACAGCTTCTGCTACTTAACGCAGACTAGTCCAAGGTTCTGCTTAGTTCAAGTACACGTGTAATATTGATCTCATTTAGTGCGGTAAGCTGGTATAGATCTCAATTCGTGAATTTCTGGGCATTTCAATGATAGTTTACATACAAGCTGGACCCCATGATAGCTTCGGAGTGTAGGTGTTGGTGTGTGTCTCTGTGAATGTGAGACTGAGTGTGTCTGTCCAGCTTTCTCAGGCTATATACTATCTGGCAAGCAAGTTCAATACGCATGGTGGTCCCTGCTGGTTTGAAGTTTTTATGAGTATGGTTGGCCAGAAGTGAGGTTAAAGGCCGCTTCATGTCCTCCTTGAAGCATGCATGAATTATGAGTGTTGCTGCAGATTGGTCTCAGAAAACAAACCCAGAAAGCGCCACTTCTCTCACACATAAAACTGACCTGAAAACAATCAATGACTATGGGATGGGGAATTGACCGATGATCAGAGAGACATTTCAAGACATAGGAAAACTGAAAGGAACAGATAATAATCTTCCTATATTGAAAAAGCATTAATATGCATGTTGTTTCAACATTGCAAGCTTTCTGATGAACTTTTAAGTTCCTTCTGTATGCTGTACAATATATAGTAATAATGTCATCTTGTTTTCTTCAGATGATGAATCTATTGATCTGTCATTTGGCTGAGTTCTTTTCTGATACTCAATGTTCTGCAATATATGAAGATTTGAAATTTGACGACGATGGTGACATCTCTGATCACAAAACAAAGAGCTGGTCTGAGCTGGACCACACATATAAACACTCCTAGTTTTGTGGTCCAAACAAACTGGATATAGATAGCAACTGGGCATGCAGTGGTAGTCAGTGACACTCTGATACAACATGTTGTACACCCCTCCTCCCCAACAGACAGACAAATACATGTATGTATCTGTATATGTGTGTGTATATATGTACATACATACTCGTAGTTGCTGGAGATTGCCTGTCTGGTGTTATTTTAAAAGTGTGTTTTTCATTTCACTGAGAGTTGAGATATGTCAGTGTCTTGTGTGTGTGTGTGTTTGTGTGTTGTTTGTTGATGTTAGTGTGAAAATGGCGAGTATCATTGGAGATTGAGAATCTCTATCAGGAATAGTGCCAGACAGGAACTAATGATGATGGTGGTGGAAGGAGGAGACATGATGGCTTGTGATATTATTTGCTTGAAGCTGATGAGGTGGATCTCACTACCACTGGTATTCTACTTTCTGTCCGGTGTGCACACATGAAGCTCTTGTTATTTCAATACTGATCACTGTGTCTTTTCATGCTTCTTCTCCCCCCAATTTATTTGATTATTAATGATAATTATTAATATCTTTACTTTTGGGGTTAGTAGAATAATTATAATAGTGTCCACTGTACAGGGCAGAATCTGTGCTGTGATTTCCTTCCCTACCACCAAACCAAACTTTGAAACTTGAAACCCTATGGTTGAAACTTGAAACTCATGCCCGCTGCTTCGAATCAAGTATGTGTGTGTATATATATATATATATATATATGTCGATATATTCTCATGTCTTAATTGTAGGGCGAAGATAACCAACTTAAAGTTATGAGGAATGATAGTTAATATCTTCAAAGTTGTAAAAATGATTTTCTAATTTCACCCTTGGTTCTTCTGTTTATATATGTACATATATAGGGTGTTTTTTATAAGTTTATTTTATTTTTAAATATGATGAGTCTCATGATAATTTTAAATAATTAGATAATCTTGTCCAGATTTTGTAATGGATGAGATATTAATTGTGTATTTTGAAAATATTATAATATTTTTAAAAAAATTAATCATTCAATCCTTTTAATTTTGATTCGGTTGAAATTAAGTTTTTGAACTTTAATTTATTATAACTCAATTCTTAATGTTTTGACTCGGTTGTAAATCAATTTTTAAATTTTATTTTTTACAACTTAGTTTTTGAAGTTTTAACCTTTTAAATATTAATCTTAATATTTTAAAAAATAAAATTATAAAATTTAAAAATATTTTAAACTTTTAATATTTATAAATATTAAAAGTATCTAGTAATTTAAGATATTAGTAATAAATTTTAAAATATTTTTAATTTTTATAATTTTATTTTTTAAAATATAGGGATCAATATTTAATAAGTTGAAATTTTAGTGATTAAATGATAAGAGATAAAATTTAAAAATTAATTTAAAATTGAATTAAAATTTTAAAGATTAAATTGTAACGAGTTAAAATTTAAAAATTGAGTTATAATTAAATAAAAAAATTATAAAAATTAAATGATTAATTTTTTTAATATTTTGTATATGTATGTTGCTTCACCCACCAGCCTCTGAAGGTGGAAACCAGCCAATGAGGTAGAAAAACTTGTTCTCCCATTGGTCTATGTTCTTTAAAGATGATTGGCAGAATATTGGTCAGAGATGGTGGTTTTAATGAGATAGTCATTTCATTGCTTCATATTGGTTGACGGGTGCCCCCTTTTCCCTCTACAATTCTTGACTTTATTTGTTAATTATTTTTACAGTTACATGCCTTCAATTAAAATAGCTAATTTTTATTGATACATGTGATTTGATTAAAATTATGGGAGAATTTTAAATAAGAATTAAGATGAGATTTAAATATTAGTAGGTTTTAAAAAATTTTAAAATTTTAATTCAATTCAAAAGATAAAAGTAAAAATAATTTTAATTATGAAAAAATTAAAGTATTATTCACTTGTTATGTAGAATTACTAGTTATTAATTTTTTTATTTTACTTGTTTACTAATATCATTTATAAATTATATTCATTTGTTAGACAAACAATAATATTAATTGTTAATTTGTTAGCATTATTTGTTAATTTACTAACATTGGTTGTAAATTACAAGCGTTGTTAATAATTTACAATTAATATTAGTAAATTACAAGACCTGTTAATAATTTACAATTTTATAACCATTTTAATAATTTACAATTAATATTAGTAAATTACAAGACCTGTTAATAATTTACAATCGATATTAGTAAATTAACAAATAAAATTAATAATTTAACAATTAATATAAGTCTTATATAATTATTTATATGTCAGTTCATGTAATTTATAATTTATATTAATAAATTAATAAATCAAGTAAGAAAGTTAATAATTAGTAATTCTATATAATAAGTGAAGGATATTTTAATTTTTTTTCAGTTAATTTTTTTTTCACTTTTATTATCTTAAATTGAACTGGAGGTTCATAATGTTTTAAGACTCATTAATAATTAAATTATATCTCTAGCCCTTATTCAAAGTTCTCCCTAAAAGTATTGTATATCAGGACAGAGTGAGTATAACAGTGTAATTAAGGAGGGGCAATATTATGAAAAAAAATTAGCCACTACATCTCACATAAAGTTTTAAAAAATCAAAATGATGGATTTGGAGATCCAGACCATGCCTCAATGGGGGGACTAGTAATGCTAACAACAAAGGAGACTATAAGGATTCAATCAAACAAAAAGAAAAAAAAAAAAGACTCAATTCAAGATTTGATGAAATTATAAGGATTAATGAAATAACTTTTTTGCAAATTAATAGATGAATCACACATTTGCAAGCATAGTTTTCCGAAAACTACTTTGTTTATTGAATTGTGAACATACATGCAGACCTAAAATCTAATTTTTGATAACAAATTGTACCAAAATCTATGAAATTTTAGGTTACATGTTAATTATAAACTGAGAATATAATATAGGATGAATAACATGCAATCATAAAAGCTTTAATTGATATACTGATATGGACAAGGATTATACTTTGCAAGGGATCTATCTTGCGGTATTGCAAAAAAAAAAAAATTGTAGAACCCTTGTTCCATATTCAAGAGATGGTAATTTAATTTCTCAATCATTTGCTTGAGAAACAAGAGCTTATACAACTTTTGTATCTTGAATTAGTTGAGGCTATACAAATCTCTTTTATTATCTAAAAAAGATTACTTATTATTTTCCATTCATTTCCTCTAAAAGTTCATTAAAACCAAAATAAAATATTATATGATTAAAAAGGTGAAGAAAAAATTAATTATAACGAGGGATCTTGAATTTTGGAAATTTCAAAGAAAACATGTTTATTTTGTTTAATTGTTTGGGTCATTAACTTTGGTGAAAAGAATAGTTTAGTTCAAGTCAAAAATTAAACTAATTTTCTATTGAAGTTCATGCATTTTAGTAGCGGGATTGAGTAAATTTCATACCCATCTTATATTTCTTTATTAGTCTTATTTTTAGTTTTCAATAATTTAATCTAAGTCTAAAATATGTAAATTTTCAAGTAAGGCCAATGCTTTTCATTGGTGGGATCAAGAAAGTTTCATATCCACCTTGAATTTTTTTTAGAGGTCTTATTTTTATTACTATACAAAAATTTAGCGGAAATCCAAAATAAATTAATTTCTAAGTGAATTTTGTGCTTTTCAATGGTAAATAATGCAAATTTCTTATCCAACTTGCACCTTTTCAGTCTTTGGATTGCACAAATTGTTAAGAACAGAAGATAAGACTATTCTAAATATATGAGATGAGTATGGAATTGCATAAACCCGCAACTGAAAAATATTAAAAATTTTTTAATGAAAAAGTTTGGCTGAATTTGGTTTTCCAAGCTCACCAAGATTAGTGTATATATTCAGATTTAAAAGAGCACTTAAAAAAATACTTTTAGATCATCCATGAACAAAAATTTTACATTAGTGGTAAGATTTGAATCAATAATCTTATAAGTTCTCAAGATTTTTTTATTAACTGGATGCATAATCTCATAATATTTTAACCCATAATCTTATAAGTTGTGAAGTCAGTAATGTTTGAACCCACAATCCTGTAGGATTTGAACTCATAGTGTTATCAGCCTTGCACTAATTTCACTTAACAATTCAACATACCATAAACTTAGTCCAAGTTTTTTTTTACAAAAGTTTTTGGGGAAATAGTTTAATGGCCCAAAATAAAAAAGTTGAGCCCATCATCGGTGGGTTCTCCAACAAATGGACAAGTGGGCGAATGGTGGTTGTCCGGCAAGGGTATTTCTGTCCACATGTTTTTATTATTTTTTTAATTTCATCCAAGAACCTGGTCCTTTCTTAGGAATTTTCAAAAATAGGATTCGACAATGTAATTAAAGTCCTCACAGGGTCTGCAAATGTCAATTTCCCAAAGAAAAATGATTGGAAATGAAATGAACAGATAAAATAAAAATGCGGACCGCTCGCTTATGTTTGGGAGGGTCGACACAGGAAATCCGAATTGGATGAACAGTTAGCCATATTACTCGAATTTGCTTGGTAGTTCCGTTCTTGCCATGGATTCTCTTTCAAAGATTGGATGCCTAACGTTGTATCGTACTGTTCACATCCCAAGAATCCCTGTCCGGAGTGCTTCTTTCACTAGGAATAGTTCACTGGTTTCAGTTTTAAGAGCTGGTCCGTCTTCAGGTTGGCATTTCTCTTTGTTCTCATTTTTCTTTGATTGAAATGTGAATGGTGTATCAGGTTTTGAACCTTAAATTTCATGTGCCATTGAGAAAGTTGAAACTGTACTTGAGGGATGAAGGGTTGGGGGGAAAGGGGGTTGGACGTCGAAGATTTCTTATGAAGTCCAGAATGGAATCATGCTACGAAATGGTTCCCGTACATTTGTTTGATTAGATGTTCTTACGGTTCTTATGCACCAAAGAAGAAGGTAGGCTATTGATAAAACGAATTTATTGATTCAACAACCTTCTCATTACAGTGCTTACTCCTATTTGTAATTGACTATGAGAGCATGGTCTACAGAACCCAAGTCACGTGGTTATTCGTAACTACTTGTGACTCTGTCATTCTGACGAATTACTAAACTCGTAATGTTAACTACTGAAATACTGCTAATTCCCAGAACAACTTATGATTCTTCTCAAGAGTGGCGGTGTGTTGAACATAATCTCAAGTTACAATTAACTTTCTTGTGTTAGTGAAACAACTTAAATTCGCTTGTGTTGTTTGATCTTTTGAGGTAATGAAAGAAATGCTTCGTAAATTGGTTTCTGTTCCCAATCATCTGGATGAGCCATATGCTTTTATGTCATGGTGTTGCTCATTTTATTTTGATTCCTTGTTATTATAGGTGCCTCCTAGAAAATCTCACGAGTGTTTGTTCTTTAGGGGCTTAAGACATTCTCAATTGTTTTTAACCCTATCTTCATTAAAATATGACCATTTTGCCATTGGGCAGATTAGATGTTCTCATCTTGACTTCTCTTGATATCGGGCCTTCTCTCCATAAATAATACTATTGTACCTTTTGCATCAATCGAAGCATGTATCCTGTCGTAATGGTTTTCATTCTTTTAGCATTTGAGTAGTTGCCAGCGGTCTCCTTTCATGCCTGTTGCCACCTGCTTATGCTAAAAGTTAGTAGTTTGATATTCTTTATTTTTAGCGAGTAATTTGGATGGGGATGTATTACAAATTTTTTTCAAAGAGAGAGAACTGAACGGTGATTTTATATCAAGAGCTTCTGATTTATTGTGGCTGAGGAAGTTCAGAAATTCTGTTGACTCTAATAGTAGCGAGCTGGCCAACACTTCTCAAAAAACCGAGCAGGTGCTGTTGGCTTCTAGTACTTAATTTCTGTGCTGAAGTAATTTACTTTTTTATTTAAATGTTGCTTTCCTTTTCAAATTTCAAGTAAAGCTAATTAGAGGTTATAAATCATATGAAGTATTTCTGTTTCTACAATTATTTGCCTCTCATTCGATTCAACTGAAAGTGTATTTGTGTATGCTTTGATACAACAACAAACAACAACAACAAGCCTTTATCCCACTAGGTGGGGTCGGCTACATGGATTGTGTATGCTTTGATGAATCAAGCAATTCAAATGCAATGACATATTTAGAGTTTCTAATCTATGTAGATCATAGAGGGTGCTGACGATGATGGCTTTTTGAAGCTCTCAAGAACCCAAGAGTGGATATTAGGTGACAATACCGCACCAATGAATAAAAAGGCAGTTGCCAAGGTATGCCCAAAGTTATTCATTTTTAGATGTTGCGAACTTTTATTTTCCTCATTCATTTATTTTTGAGTCAGCTTCCATTGCTGATTAATAGATGGAGGGAAATTGGCTGTCAAAATGTTAAGTTACAATAATTGAATCTTTTTTTTTTTAAAATTATTTCAAAGTATTTTAGTTCAGATCTCCCTTTGCCAAAGAAAAACTGAAAAAGTTCTGAACTCAGTAATGTTTGACATTTTCCTTTGTATATTGACAGGCACTGCAAGACAGCAGTGAAAGACGGAAGAAACTAAACCTTCTTAAATACGAATCTGTATGATACTTGAACTCAGTATTTTATTTTTTGTCTTAAGTTAGTAAAATCAGTGTTTTCATGCCTCAGGGCTTGCACGGTTTGATTTATTATAGTTGTCCAGTGAGTTACTTGGAAAGAGAGAATAAGTTACTTGTTCACGTTTGTGTAAAATGCTGAATCTTTATTCTTTTCAATATAGCTCAAGAGGGAAATACTGCTTCTATCTGTGGGTATTGGATTGGCATGTAGTGGATATTGCTTGATAACTTTGTCAGTACAGGTTAGTGTTTTATTATGCTTATGCTAAGAAACCACGTTTTGTCACCCTAGATGGCTATTATAGAAGTTGAAAACAATAGCAAACTGCCTCTATTACTTGGTTGTGTTTTATTAGATCACAAGAAGATTGACTATAAATGGACTCCATGCTCCATGGTGGAGGTTTCAAACCTTTTCTTTTATCTTAAAAATCAGCCTTTTGGAGCGTCTTGGCTTTAGCTGATATGATGATCTTTCCCATTTAACTTGCAGGCTGCTGTAAGTTATGCTATTGGAGTGCTTTTCAGGTTTGCTGTTGCATTTTAGTAGGTTGACATTGTCTTATCAAAACCATGGTTGATGAACTAGAGTAGTGATCACTGAACTAGAAAATGCTTCGAAAGAATTGGGCTTGCCTCATGGGATAATTCTTGAAAGTTGGTCTTTCTTCTATCCTTCTGAAAAACACAGGCAATTTGTTTTAGCTGTTTGTACCTTTTGGTCTGTCTTTACTACCAGGTCATTTCAGTTTTCCTATCAGAGATAACAAGAAAAAGCTGTTTTCAGCCTTTGCGCCCAAGAAAAAGTATCTTGTCCAAATGGATAGGGTGTGGTTAATATTATCATCGTGTTTTTTGCTCTTTCTGGGGTAATGAAAGGTGGTCCTTTGTGGTTCTGCCTCCTCAGGATTGGTCCAGAAGGAAGGATAGATATACTATGTGTGTGAGATAGAAAGAGAGAGAAATAAAAGTGGAAACATCTCTTAGAACTGCTTCTGTTGTTGGTTATAGTGGTATCTGACTGCTATCATTTTCAATGCAGTTGCTTGTACCTTCAGCTTTTGTATCAACATGTAGACAACCTATCTAGCGAAGATGTTCCTCAAATTTTCATGAAAAAGAAGTCAAAGAAGTAAAATTGAAAGCTTTGCTTTGATTTAATCATGCCATTTAACATCTTATGATGTTGGCATTTGTTAAGCCCTTTGTTTTGACTAAATAAGATTTTAATTGTAACCAGAATTGGTATAAGAAGTGAGGACCTTCAGGATTTATTGGAGAGATCAATCAAGGGTGTTAGCATTTCGCTTTCATCTCCAAGACTTGTGATCCCAGCAGCAATTTTTGGACTTTGGGTTCTGTGTCATCACTATATATTGGACGACTTCTTTGATTTTCAGGTAAACTTTGGAAATATGGTATTGGTTGTGGTATTTGTTCAGTTGTAATAAATTTATTTTTGTTCAATCCAGATTGTGCCAGCCATGTTTGGGATGTTTGCCTACAAGGCTGCTGTTCTTGTGCAAGTTTATAGAGACAATGAAGACTTGCAATTTGTATTTCCAGAAAATAAGGAAGGCTCAAGTGATTGAAATACAAGTTTTGCTGTTGCTCAGTACCATAATTTACATTCGTTATTTTTGAATCTTTCACAAGCTGAGCAGCATCCTGAACTTGTCTTGTAAATACCTTGTAACAATATTGATGATGATCAGATTTTATTAACTTCTCTGTGTGCATCTCAAGCTCATGAGATAATAGAGCTTGCAGCTAACCCTTTTCATTTTCATAGTATACATGGCTTCCTTTTGATGCAAGGCTAAGAACATGATCATCACTATTGTCTTCCCCCCATACTATAATGTTGTCAATATACCTCCATTTTTTATGTGTTTCTGACTATAGTGTAACTTTATGGAATTGCAACGTGTTATGGTACCCTGCTTATTACGTAGTCACGCTGTGTTAACTGATGTCAAGAAGAATGGTCAAACTGCTATTTCAACTATGACAGGTGATTACAAATATATAAATAGAGCTTTATTGTTCGAATCAAATCTTGTAAAGTTAGTATGCTCTATCTTGCTCCTCTGAATGCTATCTGTTTTATTTGGTTGGATTATGTTTTGATTTGTTGATTTTATAGTTGCTAATTTTCTTTTCTTTCAACACTGATTTTTTCATTTATTTCTTTGCTTCAATTGCAGATGAAGTTTCTTGTTTCAGCTCCTGAACCAAGAAAAAGTTGCATCCCTGACCATTATAAATGTACAGGTTTTTACTTGACCTTTTCAGAAGAGTCATTAGCCAGTATTTTTTGGCAAAAAAAAAAAAAAAAAACTAGCCAATGATTTGAACCATTAAGAGACATTGTAATAATACATGGTTGATACTCTTGGCTTCTCAAGTTTGAGTGTCAGGTGTCAATTTCGAACCTTCAAGTTTCTATGGAATCACACACACATTTCTGATCTGACTTGATTGAGGATAAATTCATGAAATAAGAATTATTTGTGTAGTATAATATTGATAGCTGAAACAACACTACAACGTACACACATTTTTAATGAATCCCCTTCCTTTGATCTTTATTTTGGCTATTGGGAAAAATCAGGATCATAAGCGTAGCCGCTGTTCATCTTTTGTATGGCAATAGGGGTGATTGGTGGTATGGAAGATGGATGATGATGCCAATCAGCTACCCGCCATTGCGATAGTGGCATCAACCGACAATATGTAATTCTACTAGCTCTGCCTATAAGATCGTTTTGTATGTTATTTTTTATTTTCATTATAGGCATTAACAGTGGGAAGTGTTAAAAGAACTATTTTTAAGTTATACGTTATTTTTGTCCAGTAGGATAATGCTTTTTGTTGTTGTTGATATTAAGCTTTCTACACTGGATTCCTGCATTAGAATATTGAAAAACAAAAGTATAGGGACCTAAAACATCAAAAAAAAGTGCATAGATTTATAGTAAAAATCAACCAAAGTGTAAGGATTTAAAGTTATATTTTTTCTATATATATATATGTATGTATGTATGTATACTTTTTTATTTCATGGTGGCCACGGACCAATGAACACATTATATATAATTCACTCGGTAGGTGTATCACTGGTTAAGTTGGGTGGGTCAAAGTTGGAAAGAAAAAGAATTTTAGAAAAAAGTTTTAAGCCTATGATGGATTTCATGTTTAGCCATCTAGCCATGTGAACTAGAGTTGGGAAATGGGCGAGTTTGGCCCTAATGGGCCCTACCAATAAGGGCCTAAGTCCTTAAGTTTGATTTTTTCATTTTTAATTCATTTTATAAGGCCCGAGTCTTATTTGAAAGGTTCAGGGCTAGGCCTGCAAACCCTATTTTAAAAAAATTTAAAATAAAATTAAGCACTGCAAATTAATTAAAATATTTTGAAATTAAAAAAATTTAAAATTCTCATAATTTTTAAAAATTAAACAACACACATTTAAAAATTAAATTAATTATAACAGTTATCAATCAAAACTCAAATCAGGTGAATAAGTTATTTTTTATGATCAGAGTGTATAATCAAAATAAAAAAAATTTAACAAGGTTAATCAAGTGGGTGAATAATAAGGTGTGTATAATCAAAATAAAAATAAAGAAAACTAAATAAACAAAAAGAAAAATGTTTTGGAGCATTGCCTTGAAGCTTTGACTAAAATTTTTAAGTACTTTATAAATTATAATAAGAAGAGAGATTAAGATTGTTGTCATACCCTCATGATCATCCCATTTAGGAAAACGAGATAACTTCTCTCAGATAACTAAGGTAGTAAAATGTGCACTTCCTCTTTAGTCTGATTTAACCATCAGGGCATGGCATTAATTCATTTGTCAAATTTGAGAGGCTTTCTCAAATGGAAGAAGGAGAAAGCTTAAACAGTTGCTTACATCCTTATTGTTCTGTTATCTAATTGAATGACAAGTGTAATTTTTTTTTCCATGTCATTATCCATCTTACTTTTCTATCCTAACTCTGTTCAGCAAGTGTCTCCAACCCCCAGAAAACTAGCGGCCAAAAACAGAGACGGCCACACAGACAAACACAAAATGCTCGCTTTCTTCAACGTCAATGACGAAGACAGCTTGCCCCGTTCCATCTCTTACTCTTATTATCTATCTCAAATAGATTCCAACAACATGACAAAAAGGACAGCAGAGCCTCTGACAACCATCCCGGCTCAAACAAGTTAGGGCAGAGTTGATTCCAACAAACCCTATTCCCTGTTGTGTTGAGTTCAAATGCTGCATCATCCTCCACCAAGTCTGCAACTTTAACATTACCCGCCAAATACCCACAATAAGGTATATGACAGCTTGTTATTATTGGTTTTGCTTAAGTCTTCAGCTCAGCATTCTGCAACTTTATCCTCTGCTTTGTAATTAATACTTTAGTTCTCACTGTGGTTTTATTTATTTATTTTTTGCTTTTTTGGGCAATTGTTGATTCCCTGGGGCAGTGGTGGTAAAATAATTACCAACAGGGACACACATAAAATTATCAGTTGGGTAAAGTACTGCTTATTGGCAATGGAGATGGAGAGCAGAAGCATTCATTTTTGGGGCTTTAGACTCTTATCTTAACGGAATTAAAATAATAAAAGCAAGATGGTTGATTATGCTGGAAAACATTTACTCCTCATTTGTTAGTTATTAACATCACCAACAAGGATATACACAACTGTATACAAGCTTTCCCAACGGAAGAAAGAAATACACATAGCCTTACTAGGTTATCATCTCTCCTGTAAGGAATTTTAACCTCGGACATTTTTTGTTCTCATAGAAGAGATGACACGTTCTAAAGAAAGATTAAAACCATTCAAGAATATGGATGATAAAATACATCACTAATCTTTCTCACCATTGGTATCATTATAGTGCCATGCTCAAGAAGCCAATAGTGGGTTCAGCACTGCTCCGATGAAGAACACTGCCATGGAAGTCTCTTCCCTTATCATGAACATGAAGGGATGGTCAGCCACAAAGCTTGGCAGCCTGGCAGATAATAACCTAAAAGCAGCAGCTGTGCTAGCTGCAGCTTCTGTTCCCTATAATACTTATAAGACACATTTAATTATCTCATCAAAATTAAATAAGAGTAGTTAAATTATTAACTTTACATGTGAAAAGAACCTCTATTTAAATGAAAAGTTTTTAAATTTGTATTACATTCTCTCTTATCAATGATGAGTTTATAGATGGGTAATATTGAACAAATATAATTAATATTTTATCAAGTGTTTTGTGTTAAAGACTGAAGAATCATTCTAAAAAATGCAAAAAGCGCCCTATAATAAGATCAAAGAGATTAAAAACTGTAACAAGGCGTAATATTCACAAGTCATAAGAAGAAAATAGTACAATTTATTTATCAAATTTTGTATAATATATTTGATATTATTTATTGTGTACCCCCTGGAAGATTTTTTTTATTTAAATTTATACAAAGGGGAGCAGAAAAAGAAAATGGAAAATGACAATCAGGTCCCAAAAAAAATGAATTAATGATAATTAAATTCTCGATGAAATTTTATATAAAATGAATTATAAATATCAATTTAAATAATTATAAACAGAAATTTCTGTTATAATTTAAAAATTATATTTGATATTTAAATAATTATTTTCAATTGAAACTCTTGAATTTAATAATTTTGATTAATATTTTTAACTTATTTAACTGGTATTAATTTAAACCTAGCTGTTATTCTCCAAAAAGGGGAAAAAAACAAAGAAAGAAACAGAAAAGCAAGTAAGGAGGCCTCGGCAAAGTCATGCGAGACAAGTTATCAGGAGCAAGAGGGTGAAACCTAGTAGGAAGAGACAATCCACGTTGAGCTAGAGAGTGCGCGTCTTCATTATAGTCACGTTCCACGTGGTGCTACATAAAGTACTGGATGGAATTGAATTGGAGCCTGACCCAAAATTTGATTTCTTTTATAAAAATGATTGAGTTAGAAAATCATAATTCGATCTGATCTAGTGATAATTAAAAATTAATAGAGTCGAACTTGGTTCATAGGACTAAAAGACTGGTCCTATTAGTCCAGTATTTATTTAGCTTTTTCCCCCTTTTTCCTCTATGAGAGGTAATAATTTATTTTAATCTAATAAACTCAATTAAGAAGATAAAAATATTTATAACCGTAAATCCATAGTAATTTTCAACAAGAAGAAAAAAAATATTTTAGTTACAATTTAAGTGATCCAAATTATTAAATTATTAATAATCTTAATTTATTATTATAAATAATTAGTAAATTAATTATAATTATATTAAATAAATTTAATAGGATCAGATTAGATCAAGTGGTTCAGATGTCCAATTTCTTGTTCAGTTTAATCCGAAAAAACAGTTTAGTCTTTTTAATCTTTTTAATTCTAAAGGATCAGCTTTCAATAGGACTGGACAAGACATGACCTCCTCATGTCAAACTGGATCGAACAGGAGTAGAGGACTTCTGCACAGCCTTACTTCCACGAGTTGAATAAATCTCAAATCCCATGCATGCTTAAGTCCCATAAAACACGCCGAGATCTCTCCTGCTAAGTGCATGAAGAATGTCTTCATCAGCTAATTTACACCATGTACAGGTTGCAGCATCGCTCATACGCTTCTTCATTCTCAACTGGTTAGTCAGCAATAGATCATGTAGAACCATGCATCCACATAAAATGATTTACATATCTGCAGTACTCAAAGCTTTCAGATTTTAGACCACACATAGACGAGGGAGGAGAATCATCCCCTCTTAATAACGAGTAAGCAGATTTTGACAGTAAAATGATGGTACTTCGCATGTTTCCATCTCACAGCTTCCCGCCCATTCTCCAAGTACAAATTTCAATACTTTTTTTTTTTTTGGGGGTGCCAAATTTCAATACCAGACTGAAGAAAATCCCAAGTTTGTTTGATTCCACCCCAAAGTCTCGAAACAGCCCATTTACGGTCCACTTTGGGTATCAAGTTAGAACCACATGAATAAATACTTCTGTCAGCTTCAGCCTAGGGAGAGAGCCCTCTTTGTTGTGAATTAACCCCCAACCAGCTTTCATTGAAAAAGCTTGGTTCCATCCCAAGCCACAACATGGATCTTCTTGCTCTCAGTAGTTGAATCCCATAAAAAAAAAAAAAAATCCTGTGAATTCTTTTCAACAGCCTCACAAGTAGACACTGGGAGTAAGACTGTTTGCATAGGATACACAGGAATAGCAGACATGACAAAAGAGATCAACGTGTTCCTACCTGCAAAGGAAATCTTGTTTGCTTGTATAAAAAAAAAAAAAAAAATCTTGTTTGCTTTCCACCCACTTAACCAGGGCTTTCACTTTTATCAACAACATAATTATAAGTACTCTTATGAAGACGATTGTGGCATATGGGAACTCCAAGATATTTGCCCAAATCTGACGTAAAGGAGAAACCCAACATCTCGCTCACTTGTATTCTAGTATGGTCTGTGAGTGTTCATTAGTTGAATCGGTTGGTGAAATTTGGAAATAAAATAGTGATAATGAAAGAAGTTGTGAGGGTTAGTTGTACTCCTTCCTTAAAAAATATACAACATTTTGAGTTTTTCAAAGTGCAGTTAAGAAGTTTTTCCAAAAATATAAGTAAATAATTTTGAGGTATATTAAAGTAGTAATTAAAAAAGTGAATTTTAAAAATACCTTAATTATTAAAAGTATAATTCAGTTAAAAGTATCTTATAAGTTATAACATTGAACACAGGAGTCCTTAAATCACCTTATGATCATCAATTGAAATCATATTAGTTTTACCTCACTGTCGTTGCTGTCATAGTAATAATGAGTGCCTAAGGA